GATCTAAGACCACGTGATTACATCAAAACCATCCTCCCATATTATGAAACAAAGAAAAATATAGAAAAGGAAAAATCATTGTTGCCTTGTCCCCTTCCCTTCCTTTCCCTTCCTTCCGTTCCTTACCCACGGCCAAGGTATCACACACACATGTCCATTCCACAATTCCATATCCCTCCTCCCTACCCACCCCTAATCACACTCACATACATCAAAAACCAATACGCAAAAACAAAAGCATTCAAACAACAGAAACCAAAGTTCATTTCCGAAAAGGAAAAAAAGCTGACAACAGACATAGCAAAGACAATATATATGAAGAAAATAAACATCGGCCGTTCAGCATATATCAGAAAACATTCGTAAAGGATGGATTGATGATGATGATGATGATGATGGTAAAATAAGCCATAAGCCAGCCGACCCCCGACCCCAAATGTTCCTTTGTGTGTGTGGTGTTCCGGGTTAAAATGCGACGACAACGACGACAACAAACAACATCAAACCAACAGCCTCCCGTTTGCTCGGCAAATACCACAAGAAAAGAAAAAAATCCAAAACCGCATCACGCGCACAAATACAACTAATGTTACACAAGCCCCAGTCCCCGTCTGAGAGACTGCAAGCCAAGAAAGAAAGAAAGAAAGAAGAAAAAGGGGGTATTGATGGATGAAGAGAGGGAAAAAAACACCAACCCAAAAAAAGACAAAATCCAGAATATGCAACAACATGCAACATCACCACTTTTCCACCCAACCCCTTACATCGACTCGATCCTCGCACTGGGCAATTGCATCCCGTCATCAAACTCCAGTTTTGGCCCCGTCCCCCACGGGTCATACACACCACCGGCGGCATACCCCCCAATCGTCGCCACCTCGACCGGAGGCTGGTAAACAGCATGCGCACCGCTATACCAATTCTGCTGCGGCTCTTCCTCTCTGACCGGTTGCGGCTCATAGTACTTTTGCTCCTGAGGTTGGCTGGTTGGTTGGGCCTGGGCTTGCTGAGGAGGGGGGTACATGTTCTGTTGTTGTTGTTGTTGTTGTTGTTGCTGCTGCTGCTGCTGCTGTTGAGTCTCCACCACTGGGCTCGTCGCGTGAAGAGCATATGTCGCTGCTTGGGCGGGAGGGGCATGAGTGTAAAACCCTTCTTGGGTGGAGGGGGACCGGCCTGATCCGGCCGAGAAGCTGGATGGGCTTGACTGGATGGAGGCGGCAAGACCGGGGGCGGAAGGATAGGTCATCTCAACGGGGGCTTGGCGCGGGATGGTTTGGTATTGGGGGGCGTGCTGGTGGTGGTGAACCTGAGGGGCGCCAGGGTGGTTGGTGTTCATTGTTGCTACGCCGGGGTTGTTGGAGTCCGCGACGAAGTAGCTGTGGTGGGGGAGGGAGGACGTCCTCTGCAGCACGTACGGGAACGTTTTGGTGGTGGTGTATGTTGGGGAGGCTGGGGTTGTTGTTGATGGTGGTGGTGAACAGCTTGGGGGTGCGGATCCTGATGTCAGGCCGTGGTATTCTAGCTGCCCCGCCAGATGACAAAGAATGGCGGTGTTGGTTGTTGTACTGCTGCTGGAGGCTGTACCCGTTCATGTGCTGGCCAAAGTCGGCGAACTCGCTGGCACGCTGGAGATGGTGGCCGTGGGGTCCCATCATGGGGATGTGGTGATGTTGCTGTTGGGCTGTAGCCCAGGGCATGGCGGAATGGCTCTTTGGAGTGGAGGGGGAGTCCTCACTGCCCGTGTCGGACATGGAGTCGTCGAGCTCGGAGGAGTGGATTCCTCGTTGGTGAGAGCGGCGTTGGTGCTTGACCATGGTGGTCTTTCTGCAGAAGCTGCTTCGTGTCAGTGAACCCGGGGTCTGTGGACAAGTGTCATAGCTCCAAAGGTGGGAAGTCTCACCTCTTCAAGCAGCCGTCATGGGCGCACTTGTACGGTCGCTTGCCGGTGTGGATGCGGCGATGTCTGGCAAGACTTGAGGACTGCACTGAAGTCAGTATACCGATTCTCGCCATCAACCCGAGCAAAAACTCACGTCTGAGAACCTCTTCCCGCAGCCATGGTGTTGGCACTGATGTGGCTTCTCGCCAGTGTGCGTCCGGATGTGAACCGTCAGCGCGCTCCGCTGGATGAAGCTCTTTCCGCATCCTGGCTGGTTGCACTGATACGGCCGCTCGTTGGTGTGAATCCGATAATGTCTTTGGAGATCTGACTTGCGGTTGAAGCTCTGTTTTTTTGTTTCTCATGTCAGTCAAACCATGAACCTCTCTTCTCCCGAAACCAAACCCCACGATGGTCACAGACACCACGCCCCGACAACAAACACCCTGCCACCGCGCGCACGATGACCGCCACCATACAACAAAAGAACATCAAAACGCACCTTACCACACCCATCCCAATCGCACTGGAAAGGGCGGGCCGTGGGCTCGTTATCAACAAGCTCCATGAGTTCCATCTTTCCTTCTCTCTCTTCCCTCGCTGTTCCTTTTTTCCTTTCCTACTTTTTCGATCGAGCCCTCTCTCTGTCGTGCGCAAAAAGGTCAAAGGCCTTGGAGCTGGTCAAAAACACACAGAGGCGCACGCTCTTCCTGCAAACCCCTCTTCTTCTTCCTTCTTCCTTTCCTTATAAGTAGGGCAACTCTACCCCGTTTCGCCCCCCGCTCGTGGTGGTCGTGTGGAGGTGTGATAAGCTCGTCCAAGGATGTTCCCAACTTCCTTCCTCAAAATAAGCTTTGTTCCCTCCCAAGTGGCGATGATGATTAGCAAGTTTGTTGCAGGTGGTTGGTTGGTGATGTGTACGTCGAACTTGGGTGTACCCTTGTATCTTCTTCGGAAGAGGCGTCCGGGCTGCCGCTGCGTGTGTGGTTTCCTCTCCGTCGTTCCCCCTTCTTGTTCCTCAATATTATTGCAAACAAAACTATTCCCCCCCAGAACAACCTTTTTCAAAAAGGAATGAAGAGCTGTGTTGGTGGGGAAAAACTGGTTATTAACTTTTCCTTGCGCAACAAAATGGGCCGTTGATGGAGCGAAGCGTCCAGCGCAAAAAGGCGGGGAGAGATATGCAGCGCGGTTGGGTTCTGATGACGACAATAAAGAGTGTATGTGTGCGTGTGTGCGAGGTAGCGGGGACCCAGGCGGAGAGAGAGAGAGCGAGGGAGGGAGCGAAAAGTGAGCACAAGCAAAACGATTGCGAGCTGAACACTTCTACTTCTCTATCAAGAAATTTCGTTTGGGGCCGGGGAGAAAAGGGCGTATTGATGAAGGGGAGGTTGTTTTTCTTCGCTATGGCAACGGGGTGGTTGGTTTGTTTGGTTGGTGGTGAACAAAAATTATTTTGGCTTCAGGGCCGGGTCGAAAATCGGCGTGTCAGCTGGGATGGTACGAGCAACGGGAGCAAAGAAACTCAAACAACAACTGTCATCACTCCGCAACAACAAGACGACTACACAACACAAAAAAACAACAACAACAACAACGAATTGGGACGGAAAAGACACAACCGTGCTGTTATGTTATGTTATGTATGTGTATGTGTGTGTGGATGTTGTGACGGAAGAGACAGACAGAAGCGGCCGGCAGCAACAACGCAAAACCCAGAGAGAAGACGAGGCGCGGAGTTAGGATGACGGATGGCGCGGGTCAAAGCCAAAGTTCCCTTTTATATATGTATGTATATATAAGAGGTGGGAAAAAGAAAATAAAAGAAACCGCACCGGTGACGAAGTGTTGGCAGGTGAAGGGGAACGGATGATGGGGAGGGAGGTGAAGGTTGGTTGGTGGTGGTGGTTGGAGGGGGGAGGGAGGCTGGTTGTTATGAAGAAGGTTCAGCGCCGGCTCTTCGTCTCTTTTCGTTCGACACACCCCCAGCAAATGCACGTTTATGGTAAGCGAAAAAGCGTGTTAAAGCTTAGGTGAAGGAACACACACACACAGCAAAACTGGGGCAGCAGCACTGACACTAGCCTAGGGAAATCTCCGCCCACGTTGTGAAATGAAAAAAGAAGGCAGACGGGAAGGCCGGCGCTGATAGGCCAGTGGCCGGGGGGGGAGTGAAGGAGGATGGAGGGGGTGAGAATAAGTTTGGTGGAGAGAGACCAAAAAGGGACAAGACGTTGGAGTCTGGACGAAGTGGAGAACATGAACGGACTGGGGTGAGAGGGGTGAGTGTGGATGATGGAGCTAAAGCCAAGTTGGGGCTAGAGAGCCAAGAGGAGAAGTATTCCGTACCTTTTTTTTTTCGAGGCCTGTTCTGGTGCTACGCTGCTGCAGTAGGGCGACCGACGGTGCGAGTAAGGGCAGGGAGCGCTAGTTCGGCAGGTTTGGCCGTTCCACCTTTTGGGGAGGGGATGGTAGGGGCGGGGGTTGGGTGTGTGTGGAAGTGCGGTTTCGAAATTCAAAGCTGTCTAGGAGCCGGCGTGTGTTAAGTTTCCGAAACCAGCACCAGCATAACAAGAGAAAAAAAGAAGGGTAGGGGGAGGGATGGAGGGAGGGAGGCAGAGAGGCAGGTACATGGGAGAAGGAGGGGGGGTGTGGCAGGATGGATGTGGGGGACTGCACAGTTCAAAGTCAGGAACCACTCACACACAGGTCTTGCAGATCGTTGAGTGACCTCTTTCTGAGCTGCTTCTGGGCCAGGTCGAGTGCCGAAATCAGGGAAGGGCCCGGATGATTCCTAACCGTTGCTGTCAAGTGAATCGTTGTGTTGCTGTCAAGATATGCTGGATATCTCGTATCGTATTGCGCACACGCGTGTATGTGTGTGTGTGTGTGTGTGTGTGTGTCGTCCCAGCTTCTCTCCTTCTCCCTTTCTTAAACTATCTTAAAGTTGGAGCTACTGAACGGCGCGCGTTCAAATCTGTCGTAACGGTTGACCTGCCAAAAAAGAAAAAGATGGGCTGGCGGATGCTGCTGCTGCTGCTGCTGCTTGTTGTTGCTATTTTTCTCTCACTTTTCTTTCTCTCTCTCTTTTTCTTTTTGTCGTTTCTTCTTTACGGTTTTCCCTAAGCTCCGAAATTGACCGAGACAGGCAGCGGGAACAGGCGCGCGGCGGCCGGCTGGTTTTTGTCGTCAGCCCTGTAAGATAGTAACAGGGTTGTTGGCTGCTGTGCGGTTGTCAACCTCTCAAAAGTTTCCGTGAGGTTGTCTTCCGATGATGTTGTCGTTGTCGTCGTTGTTCTTCTACACTGGGGCAAACAAATAAAATAAAAATAAAAATATTAATAAAAAAACCGAGATGAACAACAAACTCCTTTTTGGTCTGGGTGGGAAGGGGTTCCTCGTGGGTTATGTATCCACGCAACGCAGGGGAAAGCGAACCCGAGCAGCAGAATGAGAACCACAGATTGTTGTGTTGGGTTGTTAGACGAGATTGGACACTAACGAGGAATGGCTCTCCCAATTTTTCTCGTGGACGGCATGGGTATTTAGAACCCTTGGTGGCGTGCGTGTTGTCTGATGAGGGCTATAAGATCGAGGTTGCTATACCCTTCGGGGTGATGATGGGTCTCCCCAAGCCTCCCTCGCCCGCCGGCCGTCCAAAATGTGGGGAGAGGTCACAAAATACGGGGAAGATAGGTCAACCGCGCGGTATGGTGATGGGTTTGTGCTGCGAAAAGGGACGAACGGCAGGATGTTGAGCCCTAGGGAAACCGCAGCACTGCAACGTCGAGATATCTCTCTGTACAGTAGCAGTGGTCGGTATGAACGAGGGACGGGAACTTGTCTGATGTGAAAGGTGAACAACGCCCGAGCACACACCGCATCCACTCTAGACAGCTCGCTCTAGATGCTCTCCTGCTACTATACAACCCTGATGCAGAGAAAAAACTGGTTCAGACAGTGGGCCAGACGTGGCTCCGGCGATCTCGCTGTGGCCTGGGCTCGGGTTCGTCAAAGATGGGGAGTGGTATCCTCTGTTGCAAGAGGTATAGCGCTCTCTCTTGTAGAAAGGATCCAAAAGTAAGCCGTGTGTGGCGGCCGAGCGGTGGTTACAAGGTGTGCTGCTCTTGAGTCGTGTTGCGTCCGTCTGCAAAATACAGCACGCGGTTGGTGCAAGAAGAAGAACCCCGCGATGATTATACAATCCAACCTGCAGACCTTCGTCCGGGCGCAAATCAGGTGCTCAAGGTGCGGCAGCGAGAGTCACATCTTTGCTGTGCGTGAGGGGTTTCCGAATTGTTGCAAGGTGAAGAAGAAATCTGGCCGACGGCCGTAGCATTCGTGATATCTCGCTCCAACGTTGGACGTAGTGTGCCGGAGCTAGTCAAGGTCAAGAATTTGGGATCCGGGATCCGAACGGCACGGTAAGAAAAAAAGGTGAAAATGTTTTTCTGTTGGTTAGGAAGATTCTGTGTGTTTGTACCTAACCCCCCCCCCCCCCTCTTCTTCAGATATACATATGAATCTAGAGAACCGTCCGGATATGATATTACACGGCTAATAATAACAGAGATGATAAGAGACAGGAAAGTATGTAGAAATCACGAGTGCCGATCAAAAGGTGTGCCGTGTCCTGTGTCTTTCTGTTGCTTCTCTGTTTCCCGTCGCCGGTCCGTAACGATGATAGTGCATGGAGGAGGGACGGGACGAGCGAGTGGTGAGTGAGTGGTAGAAGGCTTACTGGGGACGGCTCCCCCAGCTTCACCTAGGTAGTCGGTCATCCCTTTCCAACCCCCCCCTTGGGACTGCTGCAGTTCCCAGCCCACAGCGTTGCTTTTTACCTGAGCTTTCCTCGAAACGGCAAGAGACCAACATCGCTCTCATCCCAAAGAGGAACTTCCCTCAGGGCCAGCTGAGTGTTATCGAACAGGCAAGGTCAGGTTCAGAGATTGCCTGCCTGATGACGGGCCCTGCAGGAAGCGTGCAGCTCTCACACTACGGAGAAAAAGAAAAAAAAGAGTAACAAGAAAAAGCAAAGACAGAAAAAAAAAGGAGCAAAAAGAGGAGAAGTGGTCGCCATCAAACCTCGCTTCACTCTTCTCGTTGGCGTCAGTCGCGTCAGTCTTAACCCTTCGGGCTTGCAGCCCCTATCCCTTGCTAGCGGCATGCCACTAGCGCAGACGACAGCGACCGGAAGTAGCCTGTCCCTGTCCATCGCGGGGCAACATCCAATAACCTTGACAAAACCTTGACAATTGCTTTCTCTGCGAATGCATGTCTGTCTGCCCTGCCTGCCGGGGACAAGTGTGAAGTTTGAGCTGTTGTAAGATGTACCCATGTACCCGTGTAGACAAAAGATACCTATGTATGTATCGGGCATACCTCAGGGTAGGTATTTCATGACGCTCCTCCTCCTCCACCTCCTCCTCTTCTGGTGTGGGAAATGGCCATGAGAGGAACAGGAGGACCTCTCTCCCTTTCTCCTCCGCGTCCAGTCGGGTGGAGTCCCTTCAAACAGTTTGGTAGCCGCACCCCATTCGCAGCCAGCCAGCCAGCCATGCACCCATAAAATCGCAC